CCCGGCCCGGCCCGGCCCGGTCCCCCTCCTCCCCCATCCAGGTCCCCGTCCCGGTCCCCATCCCCGCCCCCGCCCCCGCCCCCGGCTCCCCCGCTCCCCCGTCCGCCCCGCCGCCTTGATATGCGCTTTCTGAACTGGCGGATTCTGGCGCCGGTGGCCGTGGCCGGGACTATTTCAGTGGCTGTCCTGTGCGCCGGGCGTTTTGGCAGCGTCCCAGCAACCACCCAGCCCGCTGTTTTCTCCCCCACCCCCACTACACCTTCGTCCTTTGCAACCATGGCCTCCGCCGCTGCCCGCTCGCTCATCTCCCGCCAGGTGAACCTCTGGCCGCACTCGGCCCCGATTGTGGTCGTCAGCAAGACCTACTGCCCGTGCGTTGTGTGCCCGTCCTTGTGATGTCTTCTCCGCTGTCGGCTTGCCAGCGCCCCCGGGAGCCGGTGTTGCCACATGCTACTATGCGGCCCCTCCCCCTCCGAATGTCCATCTGACTGGCTACCTCCCCCCTGTCTCTCTTCTCAACACACACACCCACACACACACACACACGCACACACGCACAGCTACTGCGTCGCCGCCATCAAGCTGCTGAACGATCTTGGCAAGAAGGCCAACACCAAGCCCGTCATCCACCAGATTGACCTTGATGGTACGTCATCGTCATGCTCGTCTCTCCTCCCGCCTGGGCGCCCCCCCCCCCCCTTAGGGCGCTCACTCGTCGTGCGGGGGCCGAGGGCCAGACTGCCACCGCGCCGCACCCGCCGTCGGCCATTGCTAACTGCCATCCGCTCGGTGCTCATGGTGCCCGTCGCTCAGGCCACAGCTCCATCATCCAGGACACCATGGCCTCGGACCTGACCAACGGCCACCGCACTGTGCCCATGGTCTTCATCGGCACCAAGTTTGTCGGCGGCAACTCCGACATCCAGGACCTGCACAAGAAGGGCAAGCTCCTGCCGCTGATCGAGGCCGCGGTCGCTGCTCAGCCCCCCGGGCGGTCGAGTGCCTTTCCGGCGGTCACCCCCGCCGCGCCCCCGGTCGAGGCCCTCGTCGAGAAGGTGAAGGACTGGCCGGCCGCCGGCGGCGTTGTCGCCGTGACTAAGTCCTTCTGCCCGTGCGTCCGCGCCCTCCCCCCTCCTGCCCTGTTTTTGTCCGCGCGTCGGTTGGGCCAGGGGGGGCAGCGCCATTCTGTCTTTGCGTGGCGCGCTTCCTCCCGCCTCCTTCGTCCGACTAACCTGTAAGCCTCCCCCCTTTCTCTCTCTCTCTCCCTCTCTCTTCTCCTCCATGACTTGCCCCTGCCATTGTCTCGGTGCCCATGATACTTGCCACGCGACTATGCACACAGTTACTCGCTGAACGCCAAGGAGCTTCTCCGTGACAGCGGCGCTCGGCCGGTCATTTACGAGATCGACTTCGAGGGTGCGCGCGCCGCTGCCGCTGTTCCTGCTGTTCCTGCTGTTCCCGTGGCCAACTTCGCCCCGCGTCCTTGTACTGATCGCCCCCGCCCGGGTCTTCCCCCGCCCCCTCTCCGCCCCGTGGCCCTGTCCTCTGCTCGGCGTCTCTGCTTTCGTCCTCCTCCTCCTCCTCCAACAGAGGAGGAGGCCGGCCTGCAGGACGCCCTCGCTGCTTCGGTGACCAACGGCCACCGGACCGTGCCCATGATCTTCATCGGCGGCAAGTTCATCGGCGGCTACTCCGACCTGAGCAAGCTCAACGAGTCCGGCGAGCTCCGCAACATGGTGGCCGCCGCCCAGCCCCCCTCGTCCTGCACCTCCCTGTAAAGGGCAAGATGCCCCCTTCGAATGTGCTGGCCCGGGCCTCGTTTCTTTTTGCCAGGCACATGCCACGCGCATGAGCCATGGAAACCAAGCGGGGAGATCACCCCATCCCTCTCTCTCTCTCTCTCTGCCTCTCCGGAGCACGGAGAGGTGGGCAGGTGTCATTCGTATGACACTCCCCCCCCCCCCCCACACACACACACGCTCCGGTGGTTCAATCCACCGGATAGAAAGACAGAAATAAATAATGCAGGCGCCGGGCTGCGCCTGAGAGACCACCACTTTTGTCCCCCCCCCTCCTCTCGAAGGAGGGACGAGCTCTGGTGTCGGGGGAAGGGGGAGCTGCCGCTATGTGGCCAGGCTGGCCCTGTGCGTGGGCACCTCCACCCGGGCCGGTGCGTGGGACAGTCGTGGCGGGTCCTTCGCGACGGGGCGGGGGGAGACGGGTGCTTTGTTCGAGGGCCGATCGCGCGCGCCCTCTCCCGGGGTGTGTGTGTGTGCGTGTCGGCCAGGGGCATCCTTCGGCCCCCGGGGCAACGCCCGGCACTTTGGGCCCGCTCGCCAGCCCCCTCGCCGATTCCTTCCGCCTTCTTTGCCCCTTTTGCGCGTTGCCTCCCCCCCCCCCCCCTCCGCGCCTTGCTTCGCCCTCGAGCCGCCTGGGAGAGATGTCCGCCTCGGCCTCATATCCGCTGGCATCCTCCTCGTCAAGCTCGCTCTTCTCCCTGCTCGACGGGAGCAACATCCTGGTGCCGGTCCGGTCGAATGCCTGTTGCACCCTGCTGGAGAGCCATACCTTGCACATTCGAACGTCCTTCCAACGGGCGGTCCAGTGCCTGGTCCCGACGGCCCTGCGCATCCATGATGTCTTCGCCCATGTGGCGGTTTACTTTGCCTCCGAGGGCGAGGAGGACTGGGTGCGTCGGTGTGCCTTTCCTGTGGCACCTCTCCCTCGACTGACCTTCCCTCGCCCTGTGTCTCCCCTCTCGTGCCATAGACCTACTCCAAGATTGCCGGCCCTGCCTTCCTGATCGAGTGGTGCGTATGCCTTGCCTTGGCCTTCCTCCGTCGGGCAGTCACAGGCGCGCCTTTTCACGCGTCTACACACACACACGCACACGCACACGCACACGCACACGCACACGCACACGCACACGCACACGCACACGCACATACTCATGCACGCACAAACTCCCGATCGGACATCATGCAGCAAGTCACGCCAGCGCTGTTTGCTGGTCCTCAACCGTCGGGAGAACCACTGTGCGGTATTTACCTTCCCCCCGGCGCGAGGGTACTCGCCCGTGGCCTTCGCCCGGGCCAAGTCCAAGGCCGTGGTCAAGAAGCCGATCTTTTCCCAGCTCCAAGTGCACGAGGAGCTGTTTGCCAGCCTGCGTGCCGACTTGCTGGCCCTTCCCCCGCCGCAGCTGGTCCCATTCGACTATTCGTCCATCGGCCAGGCGTCCTCGCACCGGGTGCCCCCACGGCACAGCAACCCCTCCGTGCGGACGGCACGCACCCGCAAATCCACCTCGCGCAATTCCCCGGCCGACTTCCTCCCGCCGCTGCTCCAGGCCAATGACCCCTGTGGTGGCGCCTGCAAGTGTGGCGTGGGGCTCTTCCCGCCGGTGTCTCCGGAGTCCGAGGGCACGGCCGAGGCCGACTCTGGCTCCCCCTCGCCCGGGCCGCAGGCCGGCATGGTGGCGGGGATCTGCGCCCGGAATGGGCCGGTCCTGACCCCGAGTCGCAGCCGGCTGCTCATGTTTGCCGCCCCGCCGAAGGGGGTCACCTTCAACACCGAGTCCACTGTCGGTGCGTGGGCGTCCCACGGCGGGGGCCTCAGCCGGCCGGTGGCTGTCATTTGCCCCCCCCCCCCCCCCCGGTGTTTACTTATGCGCTGACCATCCCTTTTCCATCTCCTCTCCCTCCGCTTCCTCCGCTCCCTCCGCTCCCTCTCCCCACTCGTAGCGGGCACCCCTCGGTCCTTCCCCGATGCATATGCCCTGTGGACCCCCTTCGCGCATGATGTCCATCGACTGCACCTGGCCCTGGCGTGTCTGCACTACGCCACGCCCCTGCAGCCGTACCACGCATTCTTCTCGTGCCCCAAGCCGTGTGGGCGCTTCCCCCATGATGGCACGGTTGAGACCATCGAGCCGGCCCCCTTTGCCGATGCGACGGCCTACGACCGGGAGGTGGAGGAGTTCATCCGCGCGGCCGGGGACTTCCTCTCGTCCGACGAGCTGGAGGCCGCTTGCGCGCAGCGCTCCTTGACCAAGGCCGCGGCGGCGGCCAGCCAGCGCATGCAATATTGGACCAGCCAACTGTCGCCCTTCCTGGCCAGCCACCAGACGGGCCAGGCCCCGGCATCGCAGGTGACCCCGGCCGCCGGGGTGTCGCCCTCCCCCTCGCAAGGGCAGCTGGTGCATATCCCCAGCGTGACGGCGGCCCTGGTGGCGGCACAGCATCAGGCACAGCGGGCGGCTGCCCGTCGGTCCGGGTCCGGGCCCGGTCCGGGTGACGCTTCGGGCCCCGGCGTGCCGTCCACCGTTCCGCCGGGCGACGAGCCATCCTCGGAGGAGGCCCTGCTGGATATGCCCGGCCGGGTGCCGACCAAGGGCCGTGACGCTGACAGTCGGCTCATCTCCCCGCGGCAGTCTGTGACATATCGGCCGTCCAGCCGGCATCCCGGTCCTGGAGCCGGCGCCACCGCCGCCGCTGGAGGGGGTTTGCAGCAGCCTCGCAAGCATGCCAAGCCCAAGAAGAAGAAGCAGACGAAGGACGCCCCGCCCGCTGGAGTTGCGGCCGGGGCCGGAGCCGCGGCCCCCCGGAAGAAGCCCCACAAGTCCGGTGGCCGGCCATCGTCCGAGTAAATCGCCCCACTGTGACCTGTGGGGGGAGGGCGTGTGCATGCTGCTTGTGCGTCTGCCCGCGTCCCCTCGACATGTGCTCCACAATATAGAACGGATGCGTCGTGTGTGTATGTGTATGTGTGTGTGTGTGTGTATGTGTATGTGTGCGTGCGTGCGTGCTTGCGTGCGTATATGTGCGCCTTCGTGTGCGCCCGTCGTTCTGTGCACTCTTCGGCACACACACGCTCCCTCATCTCGAGCTTGCGGTCCAAGTGGAATGCGCACCGCTGGGGCAGGATGGGCAGGCGGGATGGGCAGGCGGGATGGGCAGGCGGGATGGGCAGGCGGGTGGTGGGTGTGGGGCCCGGTTCTCGGCGCGCGCGGCCTTCCTGCCGCGGTGTCCGGTGCCCGGGTGTCCGGGAGCAATGCCGCCAGGCGTCGATCGATATGCACATGCCAACGGATGCAGTCCGGTTACTTGCCCTTATGTGGGACCTCCCCGGGTTCGACGCGCGCCCGGGGGCGGTGGGTGCCAAAAGCGCGGCCAACGCCGATCTCCCCCCTCTCTCCCTGTCCTTGCTCGAGATTTTCCCCCCTGTCCTCCTCCGCTGACCCCCCGCTCTCCCTCTCTCTCTCTCTCTCTCTCTCTCTCTCTCTCTCTCTCTCTCTCTCTCTCTCCCCCTCCCTCCCTCCCCCCTCTCTCTCTCACTCTGCCTCTCTCCACACCACAAAGAAAGAGCAGCAGCAGCAGCAGCAGCAGCAGCAGTAAGACCAAACACTCCCTCCCCTTTGTTCCTCCCCGGCCCGTGCCCGCTCGCATGCGCAGCATGACACAGGCAAACCTCCCGTTTGTGCCGACGGCGGCGGTCGCCACACCGGCCATCCCCTCGCAGACTTTTTATTTTGCCTCGCTGGCGCAGGCATTGGCCGGCCGGGCCTCCCCGCGCGGATCGCCCGGGCGTCCGGCCGAAGATGCTCCCCTGCAGAGTGTCCTGCCGCGGTTGTTCCAGACGGCCAGCCGTCCGAGCGCGACGGGGGACAATTTCGGCCCGGTTTTGGAGCCAACCGAGGGCACCCTCGGCATGGATGATGACCAGGCCATGAGCACCTTTCAGCATGCGGCATCCGAACCGTGGCCCTGGCTGCGGCATTCATTGCCGGCGCTCCAGTCGTCGGCCGCCTGCCCGGTGAGCTCGGACGACTCGGCCGGCGGCAGTGGGGCCGCGCCCCTCGCGCCGCGGGTGACCGTCCGCGATCTGCGGGTCAAGAATCTCCTCATGCAGCGCATCGCCTCGACCAAGCGCCAGCGCGCGCGTGAGCAGCACCGTGCGCGCCGTGCCATGGCACCATGCCCCTTTCCGCCCCTCTGCTCGGCCTGCCCCCATTGCTTCCACCATCGCTGACATGCCCGGATGCGCCTCCCCCCCCCCCTTCCCCCCCCCGGCTGGCTACTCCCCGGGCGATTGCAAAACAGGCGAGCACCTCCAGGCTCGGCGACACACCGTGTCCGCCCTGCGACAGCAGCTGAGTGTGGTGGTCGCGCGGCGCCAGCTCCAGGCGCACATCCGTGCTGTGGAGGTGGCCCTCGAGGCGCAGAACGACCAAAAGGTCATGCTCTTCTCGCTCATGACCCCGGTTCTGGCGGCCGAGTCCCGAACAGCCGAGGAGACCGCCCCTCCGGGAGAGGGCGTCCCTCTGCCGCCCGCGGGCCCGACAGACGCCGCTCCCTCGGCCCGGAGTTGAGGGGTGAGGCGTGGGGAAAAAAAAAATAGAAACAAAACAAAGGTGCTGAGCTCTATTGGTGCTGTTCTCGCGTAGGGCCGCGAGGGGCCCAGGGACAATCGAGGGGTGTCCCTCATGCCTCGTCCATTTTCCAGGACATATAGAGGCGCAGGTTGTCCAAGGAGAGCACTCGCCCGGAGGCCCGCAGCGACTGCAGCACCTTGACAATCTGCACGTGCGCGCGTACAGCGGCATCCGGGTCGGGCGGAGAGGCCAGTCAGTCACATGAGCCGCGCGGAAGGGGGCCGGTTGGGGGAAGGCAGGAGCAGGCGCAGGCGCAGGCGCAGGAAAGAGAGAGAGAGAGAGAGAGAGAGAGAGAGAGAGAGAAGGGGAAGGATGGGCACCACGTGCGTGCGGGCATTGCAACGTACATCGCTCAGGGCAAACTCCGCCGCGTGACGGATATCCGGCGCGGTGCGCAACTGGCGCACGGTGTGGCAGAAGGCTATCCGGAAGAGGGACACCAGCACCTCGAAGGCCAGGGTGGAGGACTGCCGGGCGATGACCTCGCGCTCGGTCAGCAGGCTGGCCGCGCGGAAGTGGAGCTCCGGCATGTCCTCGGCGTGCTGGTCCTCCAGGCTCGGGCAAGACCCCGTCCGGGGGAGCGACTGGCCGATCATCCGCCCGCTGGGACCGGGCCGTTGGGCGCGAGTGGAGAAGGTGGTCGGGCTGGTGACCACGCTCCAGAGGGGCGACGTGCTGAGGGTGTGGGTGAGCAGCTCGAACAGCTCGGCCCGACCTGGGGGGCCCACCGGGGCCGGAGCGCCAGCTCGCCCGGGGGGAGGCTGCGGCGCGCTGGGGTCTGAGTGGAGGACGATCGTCAAAAGGGCAGGGCATAGGGCAACAGGGAGCCGGTAGGCGGGGGGGGGGAGTGTGAGCCAGGAGTACCGCGAAGGGGAGGGAAGAGGGAAGGCGGAGGGGGGGGGGGGAGAGAGAGAGAGAGGAAGAGAGACACAGAGACACAGAGAGGGAGAGAGGGAGAGGCGTGCCCCCTTGTTGGGGGACGGACGAGAAAGAAAAACGCACGATATCCAAGAGCATGGAGCAGGCACTCAGCCACAACGGCCCCTGCCGAGGCCCAGTAGTACTGGCGCCCATCACGGCTGCGGACATTATGCAAGGCGGTGGCGATGGCCTGCGAGGTGGCCGCGTCGCAGGAGGCCAAGCTGGCCAGCAGCTGCGCCGAGAACACACTCAGGGACGAGATGTTCTCCTGCAAGGCCAAGGGCAGGATGGATGGCGGGGCGAGGGGGGCCGACAGGCATGTCGTATTTTTTTTTGCGGACATGTGCGTGCATGTATGAATGTGTAAGCGTTAGTATATACATGCATGCATGCGTGCGTGCGTGCGTGCGTGCGTGCGTGCGTGCATGCGTGCATGCGCATTTGCACATACGTGGACCATGAAATGCGCCCACTTGTTCGAGTGAACCGGCGGTACCACGCGCCCCGGCCGCGGCCGGGAAGAGGACGGCACGGCCACCGGCTTGCCCATCCATGTTTCCCACCAGTCGGAGTTCAGGGCGGCGGGCCAGTCGGCCGTGGCCCCGCCGCCCGCGGCCGGGTCTTGACGAGAAATGGACAGCCGGTGCAGGGCCTCATTGAAGCGGAAGCAGCCCCAGATGCGAGCCAGGCTGTCGGAGGCCCGGAAGAGGGCCAGGTCCGACGCGGCCGGCCCGGCGATTTGCTGCCGGGCCGACTCGCCCATGACCTTGAGCTGGTGTTGCTGCGGGTCCGACGGAACCGAGGACAGACGCAGGAGAGGGAGGGGGGGGGGGGCAGGGGGAGAAAGAGGGACGGCCAATGGCAGCCATGGCGGTGAGTCGAGGACCGGCGAAAGGGCCACAGCCGGGGTGTCCACGCACCAGCAGGTGTGTCGCACGCGTGTGCAAGTTCAAGATCACCAGCAGGGAGTTCTGCATCTCATTCACACCGGACAGGAAGAGGGGCAGCTCGTCATGGACCGGGGGGTCGCGCGACAGGCCGAAGCGCGAGGCGTTGGTGGACGACCTCGACCGGGCGGACGTCTCGGCCGAGGTGGAGGCCGCCCGCGACCGGGCCGCCGTGGCCGCTGCCGACCCCGGGAAGAGGAGCCCCCCGCCGTCGCGCAGGGCGAAGTCCGCCCCCCCGGAGAAGGGGGACGGCAGGAAGTTTTGGCCCCCCGCCCCGAGCCCAGCCGGCATCGCGGCGGCCATCTCCTGCTCGAAGGAGGACGGATGCGAAAGCTCCGACCGGGGGAAGCACGACAGGTGGTACCGCGTGTTGAGGTACTCGCGGGAGGGCCGGAACCGGAGGACCACATTGTGCGTGGGAGTCACATGCAGGACGAGGGTATTGGCCTTGCTGCGAGGATAGGCAAGGCAGGACGCGAAGGGGGGGGGGGGGGGGCGGGTCAGGGACGCTGCCACGCGACTCGGCCATTCTCCCGGGCTCCCGGCCTCTTGCCTCGCCCGGCGCCGGGACACCAAGGCAGTGGAGGGGGCGGCGCATCGGCAGGAGGGGCAGGCCTCGCAGCCGGGGGAGACTGGCGAGCAGGCGAGCAGGCGCGCGCGCGCGCGCGCGGGTGTGTGTGTGTGTGTAAAGAAGGCGAGGAGCACGCACGGAGTCAGCCAGGACGACACGTCGGAAAGCGAAAACTGGACCTCCGGACTGCCGGGCGGGGGCACGCGCCCAACGGTGTGTCCGCGTGTGTGGTGGGATATGCACCAGAGGCATGGGAAGCGGGAGGAAGGCGAAAGTCGGCAGGGGGGATGGTCAGTCGCAACAAACCCGAGATCCGCAGGGGGGGGGGGGGGGGGGGGGGGCGCGCTCGGGCGAACCTGGCATGTGCCACACGGGCCACCTCCTCGGTTTTGAGGAAGAGATCGGCCGCGGCCGAGCCGCGGGCCAGAGCCGGGAAGCATTGCGGGAAGCGCTGCTTGATGCAGGGGACCTCGTGGGGGGGAGGGGCGCCGGCCGGGTCCCCGGGGCCCGGGCCGCCCAGCGGCCGGCACACAATCACATGCGAGTCCGACGCCTCGACCACCACCCGGCGCAGGCCGAGGGTCCGCGTCCGGGGGGACACCCGGGCCAGCCAGGCCCCGACGAAGCACTGGCACGGGCTGGCCCACGCGCTGGCCGGGACCTTGAGCGGAGGGGCCACCTTGGCCGCGGCCGGCACCGCAGCCAGGACATTGGCCACGGCCGCCGACATGGCCGATGCCGTGGCGCCGGACTGCGAGCCGGCATCCGGCCCGGCGGCATGTCCCGGGCGACGGCCGGCCGGGCCTCCAGGCGGCCGGCGGGCAGCCCGAGTCACACTCGGCCGAGGGCCCGCCGCCGCCGCGGCCGCCGCGGCCGCCGCCGCCACCGGGCTGGTGGGCTTGCCGATGTCCTCGCCGGCGATCAGCCGCAGCAGCCGGGCCAGCGCCAAATCATTGGGAGTCGTGGCACCGGGGTCCGGGGACACGGCCACCGGTGGCGGCATGGGCCCCGGCGAGGGAGGAGCCCCGGGGCCCGGGCGCGCACCCGGGCCGGGGCCAGCCCCCCGGCCTCCGGCCGGAGGCCGGGCAGGGGAGGAGGCCGGGGCCGCGCGGCCCGCAGGGCTTGGGGCATTGGCCGGACCGCCGGCCACAGCCCCGGCCGGGGGCACGGACCCACCGCCCGAGAGGACCACTTCCACCTGGCAGAGCCATGCGCCACCGCGCGCGCAGTGCCGGTGCCAGGCCATGCGCGTCCGATCGTACAGGTGCTGGGCCAGGTCATTTTGCGAGGACTTGAGCGCCAGGGCCCGGGCATCGCGCAGGCGCAGCCGGTAGGACTCGGCATGCGCCCCGGCCCCGAAGCCACACTCCCGGCGCACGGCCAGCCCATGCCACGACCCGAGCAGGGCATTGTAGCCGGGCTGCACGTCGGCCTGGAGGCCGGACGCCAGATCCAGCTGGCTGGGCAGCTCGCCGCGCAGGAAATCCGCAAACCGGTTGGAGCACTGCCGCGGCGTGGGGGCCGGCAAAATGCCCCCGGCCCCGGCCGGCGCCAGGACCGAGGAGCAGGACGACGAGGCGGACCCCGAGGCCGCGACCGAGGAGGGGACGCACAGGGGCGCCGCCGTCGGCGGGACTGCCGCCGCCGGCGGCTGCCCGGGGCCTGGCGCGGCGCTCGCCACCATGCCGGGCGGCGCCCGCTCGGCCGCCAGGTGCGTCACGGCCGAGAACCACTCGGCCACCGACGTGCCGCCGGCCTGCCAAAAGGTCCCGAGCTCGGCCGCGGCAAACTCCACCGTCGGCGGTGTCAGGTGCGCCGCCGACCGGGCCTCGAAGAACTGATCCGCCACCAGGCGCGCGTCCTGTGCCGGGCCCTCATCCGAGCAGAAGAAATCCCACCCCGCCCGAAGCGAGGGGGTGGCGTGGTGCGGCATGTGCGGGCCTGAGGGAGGGAGGGGGGAGGGGGGAGGGGAGGGAGGGAGGGGGCAGGGAGGGAGCGGAGGGGCGGACGAAGGGAGGCAGGGCAAGCGAAGGAGGGGACGGGGCAGGGCCGAGGGGGAGGGGGATCTCATGCCCGCTCGGGGCCCGGGGCCCGCCGGTGGACGGTGCCGGCCGAAATCCTTTGTGTCTTGTGGGCCCCCCGCCGCCCCCCGGCCGCCGACAGGGCAGCACGGCTGGGGCCACCAGCCCGCCTCCCCCGGCACCCGGCACTCTCTTCGTGTCTTCGACGCTTTGTTCGTGGCCAGCCGGCGGAGGGCGCCGGGGGCAGGGGCGGGCTTTCGAGTTGTTTTGATTGGCCCGCGCCCGGGCGTGATCCGTTCCCGGGGCGTGACACCTCCGTGATCACCGTTCGCCGAATGTCAGAACGAGCACCCGGATTAAGGCCGGCCCCGCGGCCTCTCCGGGGGGGGCCCTTGGCCGTGCGTGTCCGCCGCCGGTGGGCATCCTCGCCGGACAGGCTGGCCCCCCGCGCGCCCCGTGCGCGCGTGTGCGCCGAGGCCGCCTGGTCCGCCGCACGTCGGCGCTCGCTCCCGCGGTCCGCGCCCGCCCTGCATTGGCCAGCCAGAGGGGCAGAGACCGTAGATCCCCTCGTGTGTGTGTGTGCGCGCGCGCGCGGGCCTTCTGTGAAGCACCCCTCCCGCGGCGCGTGCGGGGCGGACACCCGAGCTCCCCCCCCCCCGGCACCGGCCGCGTTGGATCGTGACGTTTTGTGCTCCCCCGGTCCCGGGCGGCGCCGTGACAGCGCGCGCGCACGCGCGCGACTGCGCCGCCCAGCCGACGGCCAGCCGACGAAACTCACCCTGGGCGGCAGGCATGCAAGCGACTTTAACCGCCCGGTGGCAGCCGCACCCCAGGCCCGCCTTTCCAGCGTCCTCTACAGCCAACGGTGCAGCCCGTCCTCCCTCGGCGGCGGGCGCGGCCCCCCCCCCCCCTTCCCCCGGCAGGACGAGGGGCCATCCCGGCCCCCCGGACGGGCACGCCAGCATTTATTCCCCGCTTTATATTTGGTGCCCGGCCCTTGGTCGCCCCGGCCCTCTGGCCTTTTGGTCTCCTCCGGCGAGGCCCGACAGGGGGTGGCCAGGGGAGAGACAAGCTGCGCGTCCGCCCCAGCCCAGTGCCCTTGTCCCGTGCGCCGCACCGGGGCAGGGCCAGCATGCCGCCCTGCCGCCGGCCCCCTCCCTGGCCAGGGGCCGGGAAAAAACAAGAGAAGGCGCGATCCCCCCCCCGACGGATCTCGACCGTGCGGCACTCTTCTCCTCCCCTCTCCTGCCCTCTGCTCCCAGCCCGCCCTCTCGCCCCCTCTCGTCCACACACACACACACACACACGCATACACACACGGCCCCACAGCCACCGGCACCATGCTTCTCGGTCTGTCTGGGTCCTTCGGGTCCGGCATTGCTGAGGTCGCGATCTTCCTGCACCGCCATTACGGCTGGAAGGTCCTGCTGCCAGGGCCAGCGGGCGACTCGCCGACACCCCTGGCCACCCCGGAATATGGGGGCTCCGCCGAGACCATTTGCCTGTCGGACCACGGGGGCAGCGGCGGCCGCGTTGGCGGCGACGGCGGCGGCGCCAGTGCCCTGGCACTGTCGGACACCGAGGGCCCGGAGTGCCCGCTGCTGGCGAGCCTGCGGGAGCGCTGCATCGAGGCCGGCCTCTCGCCGGCCACCCTCGCACCCGAGGAAGCCCTGCGCCAGGCCATGTCCCACACCGGGGAGCACTTTGTACTTCTGCCGCTGACCCGGCGCGAGCAGCTGGACCAGCTCCTGGGCCGGCCGGCCTTCTCGCTGCTGAGCGTCGATGCGCCCACCCGCGCGCGGTTCCGGTGGCACTGCCACACGGACGGGCCGCTGGAGCTCGGCGACTTCCTGGATCTGGACGATGCCCTGTCCTTCGGGGGAAAGTGCGTGGCCGAGCTGCCCCGGGGTTGCCCTTCCCTCTGCCCCTTTCCGCGGTATGCCGACTGACCGGGGGTGCCGCTCGCTCTTGTCCCCCCTCCCCCTCCTCCGGCCCCAGCCCGATCGCCTGCCATCCATCCGGGCAAATCCGGGAGATCGCCAAGCTGTCCGACCACCAGATCCTCCTGCCCGAGGCCGGGGCCGATGGGCCGATGCTGGAGCGCCTCCTGCGCATGGAGTTCCCCGGGCTCCTCCGGCTGCCCGATGCTCTGTCCAGGACGTCGGCCAGCAAGGCGGCCGGGCCGGATCTCCAGCCGGTGCCGGCCCCCAGCAGCCCGGCCGGCGATCAGCACATCCAGTTGGCCATTTACTCGGACCTGCCGCTGGCAACGGTCCCGGAGGAGTTGCTCTTCTTCGCGCGGCTCACGCGCGCTGTGGCCCAGCGATCCAACTGCCTCAAGCGCCGGGTAGGCTGCGTCATTGTCCGGGGCGGGCGCATTGTGGCCGTCGGGCACAATGGCACGCCGGAGCGCCTGCCGCCCTGCTACGACGGGGGGTGCGACCGGTGTGCCGACCAGCAGATCAGCCGCGGCGAGGCGCTGGACAACTGCGTCTGCCTGCATGCCGAGGAGTTGGCCATCATCGAGGCCGGATCGTACGTGTACCCCCCGCCCCTCGCGTGTCTCGCACGCATGTGCCGCATGCTCTATGTGTCCCTGCGACCGCGCCCGGCCCACTTAGCTGACTTCCCTCGCCTCGCTGTGATGGTCTCCGCGTGCCCATTTCCCTGTGCTTGTTTCTTTCTCCCCTTCTCCCTGTCTCTCCCCCTCTCTTTCTCCCCCTCTCGCTCGCTCTCTTCACCCAATATCCGGGGGCCATACACGCTCCCAGGCAACAGACAGATGGCTGCGTGCTCTTTTGCACGACGTTCCCGTGTGTCGGCTGCGCCAAGCGCATCATCCATGCTGGCATCCAGAAGGTGTACTACCTGGACGCATACAGCCCGACCGACGGGAAGTCCGAACACCTGATGCGCATTTCCGGGGTGAAGATCGCCCGCTTGAAAATCCCGGACCCAGTGGTAACAGCACTTGCCGAATAACATAGAAAGCACCGTCCGATGCGAATGCTCCGCCTGTCTGTCCATCTGTCCGGGGGGGGGGGG